TTTGACCATTCTTACATAGAAACCCATTATGTTTTAAAGCAGGTCTCATTGCAGGTATCAAATTCCAGCAATGATTTCTCATATACAATATCAACCCATAATTAATACTTATGATGCAACTGGCAATGTTGCTTATCACCATCATATGGATGCAGTTCATTTAATAGGCTCCAGCATCCATGTAAAATTTATCTTCATCTATGTAAATATTATAAATATAAACCAGAAGCACCATTAAGACTTTAACTGATAAATACTTTAGTATAAATTAGTTTTAAAAATTTAACATTTATACAAAAATTATTGAATTACATTAAGTCTTAGTGCAACTCACAGTTTTCAAATAATTTATTACAAATACTCTTAGTGGCTGCTTCATTCTTATCCACAGTACTGTGAAAAACAATCAATACATAGGAAATTTATTTCAATCATATGGGTGAAACATTAACATTTTGTCAATCTGCTGTTAATTTTATTGCTCTCTTCATGTGTGTAGTAGCTGTTAAATGAAGAAAATAAGATTTTCATACTGATATTTTCTCCCAGGTGGAAATGCTACCACATTTCATTCTGAAACAACTCTGTACAATCACATAATCAGAATGAATTCTTGTAAAATTTTGAATAAACAAGATACCTGTTTGAAGCTTGGCAACAGCTTGGTAAGCAACCTTAGCACTTGGAAGATACTTTTTGAAGGAATAACGTAGAAACCGGCATATCTCAATTTTATTTACGTAAGTTGTCCTTTTTCCCTTTACTTGGTGCAATGAAATATGTGTTATGAAAATGCCTTATTAAACAAGTTCTACTTTTATGGATAACATATGCTTATGTAGAACCCAGACGCTACATGATACTATGTGGACTAAAATAAAGATGTTTGCTACTTATATGCTACTGCAAAGCATATTGGAAGAACTGAGAAGGACTACCAATGCACAGAGTAGTTAAAAAATATGGCTATGTTCCTGTGTTCAAAAGTATTAGCCACTAACCTCTGCTGACACTGTGATACAAAACCACATTACAGTATTGTCTAGTTGAGAAATTGCTCTCCAAATATATGGTAGGACTTTATCTTGCCCTCTTCTTCCCTTTAAAGGTGAAAAAAAGGAATTATGGAACAAATTATTCTCCTTTTCTGGAAGTTGCCTAATACAGACTCATGTTCCTGCATATTTCAGCTATTCAGATAACAGAATGTGTATTTTACTAATACTATTTGACATAAAAAAACCCTTAGTAATTAGCAATCACATAATGCATTTGGCCACTAGACAGCATGAACCTGAAAAAATAATTCCTACAGATGTACTGACATCTGATGATAAATTTAAGACTAGGTAAACTAGATTTAGCTCCTGTTTTAAAACTTACTACAGGTAAGACGACACCTTTTTTTTTTAAAGTAGGTATCAATATCTTGGTCATGCTGAGATGTAGCACCATTTATACATATGTGTATGTATACACACTATCATATGCATATATATATTCAATATGCTTTGAAATATTTTCATTTATGTAAATTTAATTTGTATATTTAACCAAAACCCCAAAACAGACATCTATGGGCAGATTTTTGGCAGGAAATAATCAGCTTCCAGGGTAACACATTAGAAATAAACACACATATAGCCAGCAAAGGTGAAGCTATCTTATTTAATAGCTTGCTTTGAGGTGCATTTAAACCTACTGTCTGTCATGAAGAAACTCTATACATCATCAAATGTGCCACTGCATTATCAAAAATGGTCAACTAGATGAAGCCACAATTGAAAAATAACTACATTTATTATTCTTTCTATATACAATTCTTTTCATTAATGCTCAGCAACACGCATTTGGCAGCTGAACTTCTTTTTTTAAGCAGCAGTTAACAATGCAATTCACAAAACAAAGATAAGCTCAATGGTTTCCAGGAAACTGAAAGATGAAAGAATGCAGAGAGAGTCAGACATGATTTCAAATGAAGAACAAGTGAACTAAGGTCAAACTAAAACCTAAAAGAAATTCAGCAAGAAACCAGATACATTTCAGTTGGATTGAAATTTCACAATGTATTTCATCAATGCATACAATACATTCTTTGGTATATTAATTCACTGGGGACAATTTTTTTCAAAATAAAGGAGGAACTCAGATTCCAAAGCCCTTAGTTTCATTAATTCAAGCAGAATATTTAGCAGATTTTCTGGGTTTATATCGCATGTAAAGTAGGTTAAGGTTTTATCTTCCAGCTTTGTTTTGTGAGTTCACCCCCAGACTTAGTCTTACAGCATACATGAGATAAACTGTAGTGGAAGAATCCATAAATGTTATAATTTCAGAAGCCCGCACCTACTAAATAGCCTCCTCCAGAAATATGATGAATGTATTCCTCCCCCTTGAAGAGAAGATCAGAGTAAAACTACTATTACATGAATAAATTTGAATAATTCATTTTGCAGTAGCGAAGAAACATAGCATTCTACTATACAAACAAAAAAATGCTAATAACGTTACCTTTATACCTATAATGCAAGTTATTCTCCAACACACAGAGCTAAATTCTGCTTAGTTAAACTCTCCACAATTTCCACATAGGAAGCAAAAACAAAAACAAATATTTTGTCTGAGGGATTTTTTAAAGGATACTTAACGTAAGTTCTCTCTCAGACATTAAATTTGTAAAATACTGTATTTTACAAATAACAAGCCCAGTACAACCATGCATTCAGAAACAGAATTCCAAACTGCTGGCAAATCACCTTCTCTACTCAGAGCAGAGAATTTATTTATAATTTTACACAGCAAATTATAGTGGTTGAGGAAAGAGTAAAGGAGAAATTGAAATGCAGTGTGAATTTGAAAAACAAGGATTTTAAATAGACAATTTTAAAGAAGGATAGAAGAATAACAATGTTAAAAGCTGCACATCTGGACTCTTGCCAAAAGTAAGAGACAATCTCTCACAACCTGTATTTTATTACGCAGGAATGACAACTTTTTTACCAGTTAAAATATCCCCTAGAACCATGCCTACGCATTCCTTCTCTGACATACAGTGAAGAGTGCCACCTATTGAATAAAAAACAGTATTTCCAGAAATCATTAAATTATTCTGGAAACATGCCATCTGTGTACTCCCTTCATCAACCTAAGCATTCAGTTTAGCTTTTCATCACGCAGTTTCCTGGCAGAGAGCAGTTTTGCCAAAATATAACTTTGGTATACAAACAAGGTGCCCCATCAACACTGCATAAGTTATCTGATTTAAGAAAAAATTATTCAATTATGTGTGCTGCATTTATTAAAAAAAAAAAAAAGCAGTCTCTTTTAAGGCTGTTCTTTGTTCACACAAAAAATTGTACATTTTTAATATATTTTACTGTACTGTATTAGAAGGAAAAAACTACTTTCTTTCAGACTTGAACACATTATTTGCACTGACAACCAAAGTACCTTGCAAATGACCTAAACCAAATATTTCATATCCATATACCATGACCTCAGAAATACTACAGAGCAGCAACTGTTAAGAAGACACATTGTGCCCCCCCCCAAGAAGCCTTACCAGGTGCTGCATAGCACACAGCAACGTTAGTCTGGCCATGAGTTACACATTGGTACAGGTAACATTCTATATTTATAAACATTGTAAATCAGCATTACAGTCTATCAATTTAGAGCTTTAAATACCCACAATCTAGTCAAGGAAAAACGTGTGGTATGTTGCAAGAGTCTGCTGTAATATGATACCGAACAAAACTGCTATAACCCAACCAAGACTTGGAACTGACCCATATATATACAAAACATCTGAATGAGTCAGCAGCCCACTGCATTTCCCAGGCCTGCTGTAGACTATCATACAATTCCCAGACGCACTTCCTCAGATTGTGCTTGCCTCATGAACAAGGTCAGTAGCGACAAAAAGTGATATAAAGGTCAATGGCTATGAAAAAAAGACAATACACAGACTTATTTTATCTGTTTACCCATTAACCTATTCAATATACTGAAGTTCACGGAATTCCTTGTCTCCCATCTTTTAACTGTTTAATATAATAGAGCAGTGTATTAAAACAAAGTTCTACTATTGTTTTGGTCTGTGAACAGATAAGAATTAAATATGCTGCCTTACTGTAGTCATACGCAGACAAGTGAACAGCCTCTAAAACAATCACGGTTTCCTTTTCTGAAGTCTTTGTTGCCATACTCCATATATACTCCAGCACTGCCAGAATAAACTTTGCTTATGTAGAGTGGCTGAAGTTTTTGCAACTAGAGCAACAGTGCTATTGGTAATTGAGATTACACTACTGCAGTTATGCTGCTACCTGAATCACAAAGCTTTTGATCTGCACTGGGGATCCCTTTCTGAGGGTGATAAAAGATAACTGGAACAGTACTTGTCCTAACTCTGATTATTGCAGAGAGTAAACCTGCTGCTGAATAAAGACCTCCACAAGCCAAAGGTAGGGTAGATGGATTTTTGATCTGATGCAACAAAATCATATATTTATGTTTTTATGACTACATGAAAAACACTAAAATCAGCTACAAACAAGAAACAAATTTCTACAATGCACAGCCATTAAAAAATACTATTTTTACTTTAATCTAATGATAATAAAGAAAGATTACCACAATAACTTAGTGTATACAACACTTCCATCAGACTTGGTCCTTCAAAGAACACCGAAGTATATGAGACATTAAAAAATCCTTCTAGGATGTTTATGCTATCCGCCTCTGGAGAGGAAGAGAGGAGAACAGTATCTTTCACTTTGAAAGACACTGTGTTAATGGTAAGCACGCGTTACAACTAAAAAATGTATTTCCCAGATTAAGAAAAATTATTTGAAACTTGCTTGCATATTTCTTTGGGGATTCCTCCAGAAATTTACATAAGGTTGCAAAATTTGACTTTATTTTAAGACAGGTGGAATGATAAACTCCGAAGTTTTCAGACTGAGAGAAGAAAAATTCAACAAAAATAGGACACTTACAACATTTCTCTCTAGAGATTCCAGTTGATGATCTATTTCTTTCAGACGATTCTGTTGATCACGTTTTTCCTTATTGTCCCGCAGAACCTTTTCACCTGGAACTGTTTCGAGGCTTCTGTTGGCATAAACCAGAGACTCCTGACAAAAGAAAGAACAGATAGAAGTTAAACACATGACTTTATACTGCTGCATAGTCAGATGGGTGTTCTTTTGATTTCTACTAGGAAACACTGAAATGTGTCAATGTCAAATTCTGCATATGCATAATTTTCATTATGCACATTTTCAAATACAATAGCTAAATATCAGGCTGGACATATTTCAGTAAAAGAATTATTCCCCTTTGCATTTTAAGAGGAATTTCTTAGTCTCCAGAGCTAATACTTTGATGCTTAATTTCTACCACAACAATAAAAATCCACTGAGACTAGGGGAGACAGAATGACTGATTCAAAGCTTACTCCTATTAACCATATCAGAATTAAGCCAGAAAGGAAAGGAAGAATTGAGCTGAAATGATGATAGCTTTTGTTTACTAGATATCATGGTAAATGAGACGTAATCCTCTCTCTGTAAGTTGTAGTTAGCTGCCCAACCATTATTAAAGATTCAGATTACACACTCTCACATCCTTCAGTTGTTTTGAATTGGACCCAAATATATTCAAGGTTCAATATTACATGTAACTCAGTTCATTAAGAACTACAAGTATTGGCAAAACTGCAATTACGTTGCAATTGGAAAAAAACAGAGCTTTCTCTTGCAAACCAAAGATTCTGCAGAAGAATGCAAGGGATACAAATAACAGCAGAGGGGAAAAAAAACAAGCAAAAAACCCTCCACCCAACTTGATAGTCAATTCAATCCAAAGAACAATTGGCAGCCATATAATAAAAACATACTCTATTTGTTCTTATTTTCAGATGCAGCTCAAGGAATCTTAATAGACACACACAAGGAAAATAATTCCAAGTAGCATGTCTAATTGGAAAGAAAAACAACCTTCGCAATTCAACATTCAACACAAAATTTCTCAACTACAATATACAAAAAAACTATATCTGTAAACAACTTCTAAACATCTAGCAAATCTATGAGTTCTGACATTTAAGTCAAACTATTAGCTGCTTGAAAATAAACTTAACACAGTACAAATCTTACTTAAAATCAGCAATGGTTGGCAGTACTCCAATGACAGTAAATTTTCCCATAACAGACAGTCACATTTTCTGTTTCATTCTGTATTGCTTTCATAATTATTCTTAATAATCTATTTGAATATTTGACTACTATGGAACATTAACCTGCTGCTTTCACAGAAGTAGTTGTTACAGTTTCATTTCTCTCATCCCTGAATAGTAACTGATCAGAATTCACACAATATGAGTAAAGTCAAGGCTTTTCTCACTTAGTAATATTTTTGTATTTTTCTCAAGATACCATAGAATAAATGCAGAAAGTATTATATCAAGGAAAACATTTTATTGTCAATGTTTCAAATACTTCAAATATTTCAATACTTCATTATTTTATGTTTCAATTATATAGCATGTGTACATAGTGAAAGTCCATTTGAGATTACCTTGTATGATTTTTAGATCTGTAGATAATAAGTGTTAAATATGTTTGCACAAGATAAAATACAAGTACTTAGCAACAGACAAAGCTTTAACAAACATTATGCAAAAGAGTATGTCTAAAATTATTCATTGCATTCCCTTTTCTCCAAAATTCTATAAATAAATAATAACAAAATCCCTCTTAATGAAATATATTAGTGTCATACAATCTTTCTGAGAATAAAACTGGCCGATCAACCTGCTTCTAACCATGCTCTGAAACAGATATACCCACAAAAATCATTTGGTTTCGTGAAGTGGAGACAAAGAGCATAGGCTATCAGAGTTCATTAATTGAAAAATTAGTGTATCTTCTAAAGTTTTTAATAATTCTGAGTACTTATTTAGTTTTAAACTGTTAACTATAGTCTACTTCCATAATTGAAAAAGGGAATATTTTTCGAATAAAAAATCCCAAACATGTATGAAAGAACTCCTCAAGGTAATACAACGTTGATTACCTTATCTTTTAAGACAACCAACCAAACAGAAATTATTGTTTCTTTACAATTAATGCCATTTATTAAAGATTTCAGAGTCACAGCACGGTTCCTATATCCTGTCAAAGTATTCATCAGTGTCAGAAAGCAGATCTCTCACTGAGGCAGTGGTGATTAAGTGTTTCCATTTTGAAAGTTTTATCAAGTGCAATTCTTGGAAGAAAAGAATGTGCAGTTTTATAATACGCAACTCAAAGCTAATTACTTCTAAAATTCAAAATGAAAATCCCTTTTATATGCTGCAAAACAAAGTTGAAGGGCAACTGCTTTTCACGAATGAAAGTTAACTTAAGGAATTAACTACCTCTTTTTGGTTTTTAGGTTTAATATTATTCAAAAAAAGATAATACTTTACTGTTCAATCAGCATACACCTAAATGGCACTTTCTACTGAAATACTTCTGAGCTATTAACTGAAAGAAAGCAACAACAATCACTTGAACAAACATTCCCAAACAGAGAGTTCATTATCACAGGCAGTTGCATTAACTTCAAGCTGATGTCTCGTAACATTGAACACAAGATCAGGCAAGCTCAGGTCCATGAACCTGAAGTTATTGGGTAACAACTGCATTTGCATAAGCCACTACCAACTAGAGGGAGGTGCTCTTTCACACATTAAATCCCAGTTGGTAAATGATCAACATCAAAATGTTACTCCTCTAGAACTGAGCTACAGAAAATACCACTACAGGTAAAACAAAACCTCATGTTCAGAAATAAGTCAATACCCCTTAGAAAAAGAGGGTTAACCCCCCCACACACGGGTATTTTAGCCTTTTAAATAAATGTTTCTCATACACTGGTAACTGTCTCTAATATACCAGTTCTGGCCATAGAATGTAAATATTACAGAAGTAAACAAGCTTTGTGCAAAATAAGAATTATGGGTTTTTATTTTATGCCCCATTATAGTAGAGGTAACACTACTGGAGCATGGGATAAACTGGAGTCTTCTAAGTACAAAATTCAAACAATCACTTCCCAAGGCTGAGACCTTGATTCTTAATCTTCTTGAGTGCTTAATATTGTTGACAAGGGAAAAAGATGAAGACCATTAAAAACAAGGGGCATACGATTCCAATCTATTTTCTACAGTCATTGCTTTATCTTTCTGATCACAAGTGAAGAGGCACTTTTGGAATCCTGAGATAAGAAGAAACCTAATTCTTATTCCCAAAGATGAACTATCATTTGTTACTATGTTGAAAAAAACCACCGGGACCCTCATGCAGCTAAAAATGTCTGCTATCAATTCCTGAACATAAAAATTTTTAAAAGTGTGGAATCAACAAATGCTAAAAACAAGACAGTCCTTCAACTACATACCACTCAAAATAGCAACAAATTATCTTTCCATAGCCAAAATTTTTCACTTCATTCCTTAACACATATACTGGGAGAACAAACAGAAGATACTAAAGAAAAATGCAAAAGATACAAATACAGACAGACATATGCTGTATTGATCTCAACACACACTTCAAACAAAAAATCTGCAGCATAAGCTCTGTTCTGTAACCTACCTGATAAATCTGGCTTGGAGGTTTTGAGAAAAAGCTGGAAATTGCAGAAAAATCCCCATCAGATAGTAGTGCTTGAAGCTTAATGTCTATTTCAGTTAGGAGATGAAATTCCGTGGGTTCAGGTGTGTACCCTTCTCCTGGTGCTAGCCAGACAGACACATTCTCCTATTGAAAAGTACAGAAAATACTTAAACCTCATTCCCAAAGGAAAAAGACCTTAAAGGCAGTTACACATCAAGCGTATTTACTTTTCAAATGAGCATACTTAAGAGTAAAATGTACATTTTCACCCATCTCAGTATATAGCTGAAATCTCCCACTCAAAAGCAGATATGGACAGAACAAGTATAGGCATACATATTTCATTTTAAAATATAACCAAGCAGCAAGTTAATTGGACTTAAATATATATATATAATTTTATTTTTAGAAAGCACATACATCTATATGCATTGTAAAAATCTAATAGCAAAAACTGCTGTGCTAACCTAAACAGACTTTTGCTACTATTATACTTATTTCTATCAAAGTCCAAAGCCTGTTTCCTCAACAGACTAGCTGCTCAGAAGCCCTAAAATAAAATTGCTTAAAGCCAGATGCTTTGCCTTCATGCCAGCTGGCCAAAAAACAATCAGACAGCTCCCAGGTTCCCCCTCCATTCTTCTCAAGGTATTACAACTACCTTGATCAAGTTCTTGTACAGCCAAATGAAGCTCTTTGGATAGTCAATCCCTTTTTCTGAACCATACATCTCACTTAATAGCCTCTTAGCCAAGTTAGTCAAACCTTTAAGACAGTTCCAAGCCATACTGTGCCAACCACAGCTCCCTTCCACAGATGCAAACTCTTTCCCTGTTGTGGTTTATATATTTGTTCAACATGGCAGACTCAGCTCCCCTTTGGAGGAATAATTTCTTGTCATTGCCTAACTTGCACAAACATCTTGCTGTTCAGTGTTGCACAGTAAGCATCACTTTCTGATGCCACTGCCATCAATTTAGAAGTGTTTGCAAGATATAGTAGAGGATAGAGATGAAGAGGAAAGTGTCTAGCAGAGGTAAGACCCACCAGTCCTAAAAGAGCAAACACAAAGAACATGCTATAAGCTCACATTTTCAATGCTAATATTGAAGGGGAAAAGCACAGTCCTCAGAATCTGCACTAGCAGTTTCCTCAACATCACCCTAAATCACTTCTGTTATGTCAAGCATCTCAGCACTCCTTGCTTGCATGCTTATTATTTTACAGACTAAGTACAAGGAACAGTACAGAGAGCTGACCACATAACTGAAACAGCAAGGTATTTTTCGTTTTTAAAAAAGACAAATGAAAGTCCACAGGCATAATGAGATGTTCTTATCTACACCAAACACACCTTCTCGAACAACCCCAATAAACTTGCATCTCAAAGTCTGGTGGCAAATGCAGAGGCACATCTATTCTGCTACATATTCAAACACACCTTCACAGCAGCACTTTAGAAGTCCAAATAAAGCGGAACGTAATACACTACTCTCTATTGTCCTCTGAAGGAAGTGGAAGCAACAGACCTCTGTGCAAGTCAAGGAAGGAAATACAATCAGCAGCTATGTCTAATAGGACAACTACCTTCCATCTGATAAAGGAGTCAAAAAGAGAGAAAGTCTGACCAAAACTAGGCTTGGAATGGAACTGCAGAGATTGATGCTATGGCAGAAACCACCCAGAGCCAAGTTCTAGAGGGAGGGTATGAGATGTAACATGATGCAGCATATCACCAAAGAAGGAAACACAGCATCCATAGGACATCAAAGGAACTGCTCTGAAGTCAGTAGCTGCCATTCTCCTAGAGGCCCAGAAAGACTGGGAGAGGCAGAAAGCAGAGAGTTCTTTTTCCTGATTGTGATTTACATGACTTTTTCCTCTTGATAGCAGTAACACCTGAATAACAAACATGAATATATACTCCTACTACAGACAGTTGCATAATGTGAGTGAGCTTGGCCCACTTAACCCAAGCAAATGAGCTCATACTCACAGATAGATGCAGGTTCTCCACAGCAACTTGGCACTCCTGCCTCAACACTCAGGGAAGGAAGTATGCACAACCATCATTCACTGGGCATGACAGTAGTAGATTACATCTCTGTCGTCACCACAATGAAACAGCAGATAGGACCGTAGAAGAGCAGGGATGTGGGGAAGGACATGAGTGTATTGCTGGTTTCCTTTCTTTTTCCTACCCAGATTATGGCAAGCACCTTACCCTAAGACTCTAACATCTGTTTTGCAAGGAATTCATGTCCACTATTCCGCTACAGCTTCTAGATTAGTCCTTTGGCCATTCAAGCAGTTGCATCCATACAAGAGGAGGAAATATCAGCTTCCAATTACAATACCACTGCTATGAGGTCATTTGTGGTCCATTCCCATTACCCTAAAGCACATTAGTTTCAAAAAGAAAAAAGCATACTCCAAACACTTGTCATAAATTGCCTCTATAATAAACTTTAAAAAAAAAATAAAAAAAATAGTCAAGAGAGAGTAATCCTTTTTGTGAAACAAAATCAGTTCTAATGCCTTCTTATACAAGTATGATGAGACACAACCAGTAAGCCTGACCAGACCCGACCTGATTCCAAAAGAGCCACTCACAAATGTCTTAGATGCTTCCCAGCTTTCTGGAAACATCTGTTCAGGTGGGACAGTGACCGTCAAAACATAACTATCCAGCATGGTTCTACATTTGTGTCACATTAACCTAATCGGAGAATGAAGATCACAGTGCAAAAACACAGAAATTACTCTACAGGAGTCCATTAAGATGCAACTGGACTCATTAGCTACAGCTCAGTGTCTATATCCCATGCTCCAAATATCCAAATTACACCAGTAGTCACTTTACTCTAGGGTGAAATGGACTCATACATTCTCTTTTGTATTTTTAGGATGGTTTTGCTTGGAAAATAAGCTTCTGTCCTGTCGATGTTTCCTGTGTGTTAACTCAGAACAATACTTTTATAACAGCACAGTCAGTGCTTACTGTGGAACATCTGAAACAAATTATACCCCTGCAGATTCAGCTTTGACAATTAGATTAGCACGAATATGTACTTGTAAAATATTTTAAAAACTCATAAAACACCTTTTCAAAAAGTGAGAAGTGCTGTTTGGATATCTGACATATTTAGTAGTATGAGTCAGTGAAGTTATCTAATCCACATTACACTATACAGAGGAACTCACACAGCATAGCCAGATCTGCCTTGACTGAGAGCCTCCAAAACATTACTTTAGCCTATGTGATTGCACCAGCTTTTTAAAAGTCAGAATAAAATAAGATGAAAAAGGCCATCAATTGGACAATTACCTGGGCCAGCTTGAAGCTGTCTAGATTACTCACTAGTTGATAATTTCCTCATGATCTTTGCTACAAAGCAGCCATAGGAAATGCCTCACCCATAATAAAATTGAAAGTGGAAGAGGAAGAATCACCAGACTAGACAGGTTTAAGTAACTATTATCCTTTCTTTTATTCCATTTTGATAGTAGAGTTAGGAGCTTTTTTCTTTGAAGAGATGATCTAGTATAGACTAGAGTAAACCATTCCTGTCCATGGTATAAGGAACATACAGCAACAACACACATGTCCTGTGAGGCAATCTACTTAATAGCAGATATTAATAGTAAAATCTCTATAGATACATGCCAACACGATAGTGACATGTGCCAAATACAAAATGTGGGTAAAGGTTACACTTTCCCTTTCCTTGATGCCTCAATGCTTTGAGAATTGGTGCAAAAAAAGGTACACATTGTTAGTCAGAATTTGCATTAGCTGTTCTGCAAAAATGTCTCTGAATCTTGTGAAGGACACCAGCTCAAAGAAAAAGAAAACCTAATAACTACGCATTTTGAGAAAATACTTTCGCAATTAGTAAAATAAATTATACTAAAAAGGCCACTATTCCCTAGGTCAGAAAACTATGTTTACTAACATAAGGCTGTTTAAAACATCTTCAGGTCTTTAAATGCTGACATTTATCAAAGGAGAACCATCTCCTCAAATTGAAACATATCCTTGATCAAGAAAGAACAGAAGAGACAGCATCGTTAATCAAACACTGACCTTTCCAACAAGAGGAGAAAAACAAAAACAAATCCCCCACAATCCTCTCCCTCCAGTTTCTTCCTATTCAAAGTCAGGATGAAGAAGTTTTGTCATTTTGTCACCCTTACATGGGTTTGCAATGCCAAATCTGTTGCAAGCAGATCCAATAGAATACCTTCAATCTTTTCAGAAATGCACAGATAAAAGATTAAATAATGATCCAGTGAGCTTTAATTTTGTTCTTCTAATACGCAACAACTTAAAAGTACAATAAAAGTCAACTCTCCTAACCACAGATCAACAAAGAACTTCCATTGCATTTTTTTAATGCTAAACTATGTCAGCTAAGTCAAACACCTCTGTGCAACATTATTAACTGATGAGTATTTTACACAGATAAAAAATTCAATCTGCAAGCTCAGTGTTCATGTTCAAAAAAATTATATTAGCATCCTATGTAAAGTGAGGGAACAAATGTCGGGTAAACAGGAAGACTGCTGCAATTTTACAGAATGTGAAGATTTTCATCTGATGAACACAAGCGCTGCATGTGGCCGATGGTTTTAAACCTTTGCACATGAACAATCGATGATCAGCAAAGGATACGTTATCTGTGCTTCTACTTTATCTTACTGTGAAAGAACAATTACTGTTAAAATACTGCACATTTATGTAATCTTAATCATTTCTCCATCAGGTTTTCCTGACTGATACGGACTCCTTCACTTATATTTGCCCCACAAAGCTCTGAAAATGCCAAAACACAGTGTGTACTTACTAGTTTCCCTAGAGCAAAAAGAAGTTTTGAACCATAGACTCAATGACTGTCAACCCAGAAATCACACTGAAGTTGGGTAAATTACAGATCTGTTTAATGTCACAAACTATGGGTAGGCTAGTCCTCTGTTTCCATAATCAGTTTGGATTTAGATGGAAAAAACAATAAGCTCATCTCCTTACCTCATATCCTGAAACAGTAATTTATAAAGATGGATTTTAGACATGTTTTAGAAAAGAGTAATGAATTGGATGTCTTCATGACCTTATAAGAATATAAATAGAACTAAAATATGGGAAGAAACAACTAAAAAATAATACTATTGGATTTGCTTTTGTTTCTCTCACACCTAAGTTGTTACTTAACCTACTGAAAAATAATTTACTCCAGATCATTTTTAGCTGTATAAATTAAACAGAAAGTGGACCTTGGATATATTTTGTTCATCTATGCCAAGTTCACATCTTTCTTCTTAGATACTGTTATTCTTACAAATTGTAGTAAGTATTGTTATACTTACAAATGTAGTGAAGAAGTTCATAACATTACTGTAGACTTAATGTAATTTTTAATGTAAAGCAAATTAGAAAAGCCACCTAATTTCTTTACACAAAGCATTTTTCCAACATTTCTTTTTACTTATTAAAATGCAAGTTTCTTGAAGAGTTATATCAAGTTTATATTGTTTAAGGATGTTCATTCTATAAAAACATGTATCTGTAGCATATCCGATACCATATATAGTTGAAAAGTACTGTAAGTTCCTAGTATGATTCATTTTTCAAATGAAATTTTCTCTTTCCATCCTAGCAGCTTTTGTAAAACAACAGAGCCTCCAAGAACATCTTCACTGTGATATTCCTCTCAAAGCAGTAAGAAATAAAGGCCATCTCCAAGGAGCTGGGAGATTAAAAGACTATTTGATGTCTTCACATTACTGGGAATCATTTTGGTGCTCAGACTCTCCTAGAAGCAGTGATTGGTGGGACAATCAAATATTCTTTTTTACTATCTGTGAGGAAAGGTATTTTTACCTGCTTCAGCTCCTGCTGCAGTATGCAGACTGTACGTTCTTTAACAATATTATATTAAAGCATAAATGTCTAATACTTAAGCAGATTTTGTCCACTTTGTATACTTTTAAGACAGAGTGAGTTGGAAGCCACAGAAAGATGTCATGTTATCTTTCTAAATGGACATGTAAGCTTCACCAATGTATACTTCCTGAATTGCTGCATTTTTAAGGTCATATCCTTAAAAAACTCTTGTTGGGAGTTTTCTGAAAATAGCTGCTGGCCCTTCTGCCTGAGACTACAGCACCAGCCATTCAGATTGATACTCCACAACTTCACAGTTTATGCAGAATAAACAGGTCATCTACTCTGAGTGCAATTCTAAGGCTCCTTCCCCCTGTGCCTAACTTTTAAGTTCTGCAGGTAGCAGAATTAACAAAGAAACCAATGCGAATTCATTCCTGGAGACAAATCCAAAAGGATTTGTCCAGCTTTTCTCTCCTACCTCAGTAGGGTACTCCATGGTAGGACTAAGATCAGTTTTAGAGTTACTGTAAAAATAAGCTAAATACAACAGGACAGATTAAAGTTTTCATACCTCAAGACCTTGCAATTCAATTCCACCCTCTGTATCTTTCAATAGTTCAATTAGCCTTTTCCTTTCTCCCTCAAGCATAACAAACTGGTTTCTTGAATCCTTTGCTAGCTGAAATATTTACAAAAACGAAAAAATAAACACACTTTAGAACTCCATTAGCTCAAACACCACCAAAACAAAGTTTTTAAACTTTGTGAAATTAACATCCAAAACTTGCTTATTGCCATAATACAAATTATCACTGACAGAAAAATATAGCAGCCACATATAATAAATTTATAACCTTGTAATAGTCTGTGACATAGCAGGGAGGCAAATATTTTTCATTGGATGAGGAATCATTATATGTAGTAGGTCTTCAAAGGAAAAAAAAGCACAAAAATTGGGGGATGCGTTTTCTGACAAAAAGAGGACCCATGCACGCTATACATGAACAACCTGTATATCTATTCTTTATCCATACATAACAACATCTTCCTTTAACTTAACAGTAAATATAAGTCTTAGGAAATATTTGTGCTTAAAACAAGCTATGGCCAGGTACAAACAGAACAATTCAGTTTCCAGTACTCTTTAGCAAATACACAGAAGCAGTATTATCCTCACCAATATGATCATCCAAGATGAGAACTACCTTATATAGTGCTCTGCCATAAATAACAGTTCTAAGAGAAAGGTTGGGGTTTTTTTAATTTATGTCTAATTAGCTTTTAATGTTCCTGATTTAAAAACACTGTCTCCAGAAGTACTTATAGACTAATATTTAGCTAACATTTAACAAAATGTTAATGATTTGACACTTTAATGCTTACCTCAATGTTCTTTTTAATGAAATCCTGGTTGCTTTTATTTTTGCTATGTGTTTTCTCTGCTGTTTTTCCTAATTCTGTTTCTAATTCACTTGGATAATCTGAAGTTTGAGGAAGAAAAGTTCCTAAGTTATAACCATTCCTATTCTGGTTCAGTAAGAGCTGTAATAACAGCAATCCCATTTAAATCTTTAGCAAACATAAAGTTTATAGACAAACTTTTTGTATGGTGTTTTCATTATTTACATAAACAATATGGTTATATTTAAAACATAGCTATTGTCAAAATCTATTTTCATTTTTAACTTTTTATTATATGAGATCATTCAATGTTATAAAGACTAAAATACTTTTGGATTTCTGACCTCAAAAATGTTAAACATGGCAGCCTTAAAAGCCACGGCATTCCTTCAAACCCTATCATCACTGCAGTTTTCTCATCAGGAAAAAACAGACAATAATTTTTTGAAAACCACAGAACTATTTGGAGACATATCAAGTACATTTTTCTAAATAAAACAGCTGAAAAACAGATGATATAGTTGATATTATTATAACAGCTTATAAAACAAATTTTGTTAAAAAATAAACCTCATCATAGAGCTGTAAATCTATTAAACAGACACATGATATTCTAATAACAATGGGTTCTATCCATCACAAAAACGTAGGCACGTATTCTGTTTTCCAGAGACTTTTACGAGACTTAAAATAACAATTCCTTTATGAACAGCAAATATTTATCACATTAAATAACAAGCCTAAGCAAATACAACCAACTTCTAAATCTCAAGAACTACTTCAAAAGTAGTCATGGTATTTTTGCTTTTCTGGAAAGTAGAGATTTGAAAAATGGGTGGGCTCTTTGCCTTCAAAAAACCAAATTTGACATGTTAGATAATAGAAGACAGGCTATGGAAGTTTACACGGAAGTAGATTTTTTTCACAGTGAATAGATTGAAAGCAAACTCTCAAAGATATGAAATAAATTCCATGCATCCTTTTACACAAAAACCTTAAAGGACTGAAGTGTTGGATCTGACCAAGAAAACCTGCCACAGTTCAAATGCACAACTGTCTACTGAAAACATCCCAACCTTTAACATTACCAGGCAACACCTTGAATCTGTCAAGGAACTAGATCATATAAGAACTTACCAATCAATATAAACAAGAGATGTCGCATTCTGAAATAAGCAGAACACACCAAACACCAACATAACATGCAAGATATACATTACTTTTAAACTACATCTTTCTCTTACTGTAGAATAGCGTTTTTGAGAGGGAACTGCATACAGAACATCTCAGAACATTCAAGTAAAGAACAGAGACAGGATCACTAAGACAAAGAAAACACTGAAGATTGACATGGGTAAGTAAAAGAGGGATTGCAGTTCAACAAATTTTGCATATGAGTTTTGGGTAGATTTAGTTCAAATTTCAAAGATTTGGTACAAATCTCAGTGAGACTGCTGAAGCAATAATATCAAACTAATGCATACATTCTTCTTCCCAAGTTAAGCTCCTCTTGTTCAGGGTCTGCCTTTACGACAGCTGTGACACAGAAATTCAAAAGCAACCAAAACAGCAAGTCTTAGCTATTCAGACACCACATCACGAGCCTCCAGAAGAAATAGTAAAAGTCATTTAAGCAATGTATTGCCTACAAGCTGTAAGCGATCTCTACTTCACACGTTCCCAAATCAGGAGCATGTAGAACATCTCAAAATAGAGCAAGAGATCGCAACTCCCAACCACCCCTGTGTACTGGAAGCTTCAGAAGTCAGTGCTGTCCTGAATATTGGTAATGAAACCTATGTCGCTATTCAGTGGCACTCCAGCACAACTCAGACATCTTGAAGGTGGAAGCTGAGGGTCAAGTTTCATTTTAAGGGAAGAATGAAAACAACATGATAGGAATAGAGAGAAATGAAAAGCACAGCACTGCTCTGGCCCACAAAGTTAAGGTTGCATATTGGTGGACTAAGTGATAAAATGAGGTCCATGTTCAAAAACTAAAACATGCAGTCACATTCTACAAACTGCAGAGATTTTGATGCCATCAATGGCTCAGCCTTCAAGAACGCATGTTTATTACGTCCCTGTCATTTTAGTCAGTCACCAGGAAGACAGAGTCCTACTGTTTACATAGAAGGTAGGTGACAAAGAAATAAATAATTGCAGGTGATAGCAATGGCAGCCAAAGCTATTTTTCATATGCCACAACAAATGTGAAAAGTTACTCAACCACGCAAATTTGAATTTCAAACAGGGAAACAACAGAGGCATAAAGGTGCAATTCCATTTATTTTAAAGTGTTGTATGCACTACACTACTATCAGCATTTTAAATGTCTATACAGCACACGTTAACAAGTGGTCTCTAAAAGAATCAGCAGGTGTTAGAGTTTTGCCAGAAAGTACTTAATCCATAAAAGCAATGCAGACTTTACAATAATCAGCATAACAAAATATAAAATAAGTTGTCTGAAGATTTACATTTGTCACAAATCCATACAATTTCTGCTGAAAAAAAAACCAAAACAGAACAGTTGCAACTATATACAGCACCACTCATCATTTTTAGATGGTTTCTTGAATATAAGCCTACTAATTAAAGTTATGATACCCTAGAGTAAGAGCAAAGACAATATTTTAAAGAATTTCCATGAAGAACCAATGATACATTTTAGCATATATCAGTTACACACCTTTTCATTTTGAAATGAAAGGCAAATGGTTTTATAAACCCAAAAGTAAAAATTTTCTTAGCATGTTGAGTAAAATGTTTTAGATAAGTCACAAAACTATTCTCTTTTATCATTTGCAAAAAAAGTCAGAACTATTGCCATTCCAGTAAGCAACCTTGCTTTTTACCATTTCATTGGCCTATCCACAAAGGCTGAGTCTTCATTACCCACCCATTGCACATTGTTTTGTCATATCCAAAAATACAAACTGTACAATTAATAAAGCTTACCCTTGCTTTGTTGGGCTTTATGACAATCATAATCTTCTGGATTCATTTGTGTGTGAATTACTGAAGTACATATTTCATTTTCTTTAGTATGGGAGGGATCTGCAAGGAATATTTTCAGTAAAATTTAATTGAAGTGCATTTAAAGAAGATCTAGCTTCATGTGTATCATACTATAAGATCTCACACATGAAAGTTAAAGAAATTCACTTGGATAAATTACATAAACACCATACTTCTCAAGAAATAAAGAAGGGGGAAAGTGTAAGATGTGACTCATGAATAAGTACGCTGTTTCGTATTTTTGTTTTTAAAAACTACTGCCCATAGAGGACAATTAATCACATTCTCAAAGACATAGCCCAAGGCCCTGAAGTTCAAATGCCTCTGCAGACACCATGTGGCGAATGATCTAGAAATTTGAATGAAAATGATGTATCCAGGTCTTCACAGCTGGTGTCTGCCTATGCATGAATTATTAGACTTCCAAGTGGCTTAGGTCAAGGGTATAGTCTACAAAAACAGCACTCTACTTGTTTCAGCCACACAAAGAAAAGAAATCATAGTATTGACATGTATCAACTAGAAATACAGCAGTAACTTGCAGTCTATACACCTAGCACTTACAGAAAACAACTCATATTGCAAAGAACCACTTGAATTACGTGTTTTTCACAAGGAAAAAACCAAACAATATCCAGTATTAGGAAGTGCAATGGACTCAAAAGTATGATTTTGATACACAGACCACTGGGTAATGAATTTAAGGCCATTTAATTAACTTCTGATTTACATTTCTGCTGTGAGTGTGCCAGAGGGTTTTGTTGTCCCTGACAGGCTGGGACACTTAAGTTATCAACGATTTTATACCTGGAACTTGTGTTTGATTTCACAGTCACATTAAAAGCTATCATTAAATAGCTCCCCTATGTAATTTACTTAATAAAGCTCTATCAAATTCAAGTTCTGAAAAGCAAAATATATGAACTGCATTCCATTTCAGTATCAACAAATGCAGCTTTGAGGGCACTTATTTAAATAAATAAATACATAAATAAATAAATAAGACCTTAAAAGTAAGGCACTAGCATATTACAAAAAGTTAAGATAAAGATCAAGTTAGAGGAAAAATATAAATCTAAACTATGCAGAGTTGTGTCAGTAAAGTACACCAGAAAACATATGATGCAGGAGTCACCTTTGAAAAAAATAAGGTTCGTTAGCAGTCTTTCTTGTCTACTGTTTTTTTAATATATCCTGACATCTACTGGAGACTTTCTAAATATCACCTGTATCAAATTCTGTTTTGTTCCCTTAATAACCCAAACATTAGCATAGAAATAAAACCAGGTTACTTGCAATAGTAAGTTTTGCTGAAATGTTTTAATTACACATTGCTACCATTTTTATGCATGTACATCCAACATTCAAGCTGAGATTTCTGCTCATTTATAACCATTCAGACCTCAAATCTTTGTTCTCTCCCCAACAAGGAAAAAGACAGGATGAACCAAAATTCTGTTTCCTTTCAGCCAAGAAACCCTTTCACCAAAGGTATACAGATGAAGGACAGGATGCAAAAGGTGCATATGATTGACACATCTCTGAGAACTCCAGCACCCACACAGATTATTCAAACTGTAATTTTTTAAAAATCATTCTCGAGAAGATTTGAGATGGTATATTCTTAACAAATTCAGTCTGGTTTTGTTCTCCCTCCCCCTGCAAAAAGTCAGGTGTGTTTGCCAACAATTTGAAAAATGCAGTCTTTACTTTTGTTGGACTTTCACCCTTCTAGAATATCCAGTTCTTTGAAAAAAATGCAGTTTCTATAAGCAAAATTAATGATAAAGTACAATTTCTACATTTGTGCTAATGCAAAAATTATGTCAGTTGATTTTTCAAATATTCCATTTATACACTTTTTTCATGCAAATATTATTATATTGTAAAGGTCTGAAAGATTTACTTTTCTCATATCCAACAAAAATATGAATGGTAATCAAAATATAGGATAATTATATAAGGGTATTTATTTCTTTTTACTTACCAGCTGTATCCTGCCATGATGAGAACAAAGCTAAAAAAAGGTTTGTGTTTTCTATCTCCTCGTGGCCTCCTCTGGTTCTGTTAGACTATTCAAAAGGAATAAAGTGTAAATATATAGATACATGCATGTATTTAAAATAAATTCTTTAAAGTGAAACAATCTGCTTATCAAATCTAATGAACTTCAGACCCTATTAAAAATTCCTTGTTCAGTGGCAACATCTACTTACAACTTTATTTTCTTCTTGAGGTTATCTGAACATCTGAATTTATGATAAAAGCACAGTGGAACTTTAAAGCCTGTTACATATTGTCTCTTATTTGGAGACACATTTCACAAGTCAAAGAAGTTCTGTAACTTATATGTGGCCCCAAAGCCAAATCCAATGAAATTATGAGATGCAGTCAAACCAGCCATGTCTTTTTAGCAACTCACATTTGTATTCATGCAAAATATACAATACTTAACCTCAGAGGAAATATTAACCTGTTTCAAGGCTTAAAGTGGCATTTAATTGCTAGAGGTGAGAGTAGGAATAGTGTGAAGGAATTTGTGCTGTAACATTCTTATGCCTTTTTCAGGGGGCATCTCTATTTCTTCAACAATAGACAGTACTGAAATAGATGGGCTTAAGAATGGTCACATTAGAGCAGAATAAACGCTTTTCATCCTGGGTTCACAGACACTACCTCTTGTCACAACTTATCATACCTGCAAGTAGTGAACTGAAGCATAAGACTATGCTAGTAGACCACACCTGGACAGCTGTATATTTGACAATCAGTCTTATCAATTTTTAAGGACCACGGCCTTTTTTCAAAGCCTGCCTAGCCAATATATATTAAAACCTATCCAATGTTACTTTTTAAGATTCATTTCTTCACTTTAATTAGCCAACTGTTAATTATCAAAATAATGCTTCTGTGAAATATAATTTTATAAGACATTAGTCTAAGATTCACCATTCACAAAATAAGCAGAACACTCCTAACCTGAAGTTCTTCCCAGAGCACTGCCCTCATTTCTTTGCCTTGTTTTTTAATTGCTTTCTCCTTAAGATGTTGCTTTTCAAGTATTGTGTCAAGTTTATTCATTTTCTTTATAGCTGCTTGAATCTGAGGATCTACATCTGTGTCTTCAGAACATTTCAAGTTTGCTGTAGAATATATTTAAAACTAATGTTAGCTTAAAGCATGTCAACTCAAAAAAAACCCAAACGAGCACTAAAAAGCACAACAAGTAATTTGCTAACAACAACAGACAAGAGTACAACTACTGTCAAGCACATATATCATGTTAACTTCTAAACCTGTTTGTAGCAGGTAAAAATACAGAAGTCTTTGCAACAGAATGCTGAATCAACCTCTGAGCTGTAGCAGTTGGATATGGAGGTGTGGGAGAGGAAGAGACACCCATTTTGGGCAAGTGATTTGATTCAAAGTTATAATGGAAGACTGACAACATCTCCACAGTATCAGCAAAAATCACAAAGTAAGCTTAAAAATAAAAAGAATGTCTTCAATCTGACAAGTAGAATATATGTTGAAATTAATAACTCTGGGGTTGAGACCTTCTAATATCTCTACCTTTAAATGTTACAGAAGGTTCAGTTTTGACTTATATCTCAGACAAACCAGATTCTGACAATGTTGCTATGAAAAATAGAAATGGTGAAACATTATGAAAACTACCATTATTTAATTAAAGTAGATTTCTGTACTGTCTCTTTTTCTTTCCTAAATATGCAGACCACAATTTCTGATCACTTTCAGCTTCTCCCTTTCCTATAGCATCCTCATGCTATGTCCTCCTTCCTGGCCAAATTTAGTTTCCACATCACAAGAAGAACACTTGTAGCACTGTCCCTATCCCACAGACTTCCAAATTTTGGAGTCCTTCAATACTCTCTTTCATTTTCTGATCTTTTGAGGTCGTTGATCCAAGCATTTATTGTGATGCATTGGTCTACTTTATGCCATAAAAAGGACGAGTGATAAAACAAGGGGAAAGCTATTTATAGCTATAAAAATCTAAGTGAGCTCCAGGGAAACTCCAAGGACAGATGGTTAAAAAAGAGCTCTTATTTCAACTAGCCTAAACCCAGCAGATGGGTTTAAACTACTGAGTTAAGTTTTGAGGTTAAATTCTATCCAATTTCTGTTCTGAAGAAACAAGTATCATGTTTGGGACCAGCACCGCTGCACTGGAAAGAATCACCCCTGGATTCTGCCTGACTAGACTGACCAAATGTAGGTAAAACTAAATTCTATCATAACATTAAAGAAAGTGAATATCCATTAATAAAACAATCTTTAAACAAAGAATTCATCCAACACCTCTTGAATAGCACAATGCATATGTTTTCAATTTGTAGTATTTTTTTATAACTACATAATAGACACACAAATACATTTGAGTCCCAAACTCTCCTAGGAGCATTAATAAGAAAAGGAAAATGAAAAAGTTTTATTGCACTATTCAATCTATACACCTGAAAAGCAATACCTGATTTTGCAGTACTTGGTTTTCCTTGGAAAGGTTCACAGAATTTCAAAGTCCATGTTTCAGTGTCTTCACAATCTGAATTAGAGCTACATCCTGAAAAACACAGGAAAAAGCCTTTCACAATAACCCAGATCCATTTTTGTGAGTTAAGGATCCCCACAGAGCCTCTGCAGGGATTAGTTTAAAAAATGGTATCGACTAGTACACCAGGACTCATGTTAAATGCAGGAGCAGGAATCAAGGCGTTTCTTTTGGCCTCAATTCTTAACTAAATTTGAAGAAGGTATCCAAACTTCTGCTTCAAATACTGGCCTTTGCATCTCTGTTTTTCAATAGTCAGAAGCTCCAGAAAGTTAATTCATTGCCATTTACAGAATGAGAAGAATGCCATCCAAAGCACTGCTGCGAGTGCTTTAATTAAAATTACATATTGCATACTTATATTTAAAGTATTTTATTAGTATTAACAATGTTCAGTTGTTAAATACTATAACTTATAACCATAAATCCAATTTTTTGGACAGGTTAGGATACACAGTTTCTAACAAATGATCATGATCTCTGTGAAACGTTTGACAAAAACACCTTAATGAATACACTTTCTAGCATGGTTCCATGGAACACACTGTATTTGGTTTGCATGGCCAGGGTTTTGTAGTGGGGGGGCTTCAGGGGTGGCTTCTGTGAGAAGCTGCCAGAAGCTTCCCCCATGTGTGGCAGAGCCAATGGACAGGACAGCTGTCCAGGACAGCTCCAGGACAGACCCGCTGCTGGCCAAGGCCGAGCCAATCGGAATGACAGTAATGCCTCTGTGATAACATATTTAAGAAGGAAAAAAAGTTATAGCACAGATGTACTTGTGGCTAGAGAACAGTGAGAACCTGTGAGAGGAACAGCTCTGCAGACACCAAGGTCAATGGAGAAGGAGGGGAGAAGGTGCTCCAGGTGCCAGAGCTGAGGTTCCCCTGCAGCCCGTGGTGCAGCCCATGGTGGAGCAGCTCTGCCCCTGCAGCCCATGGGGGCCAATGGGTGAGCAGAGATCCACCTGCAGCCCATGGAGGAGACCTATGCCAGGGCAGGTGAATGCCCAAAGGAGGTTGTGAACCCATGGAAGGCCCATGCTGGAGCAGGGTCCTGGTAGCAACCTGTGGATTCATGGAGAGAGGAGCCCACACTGGAGCAGGTTTCCTGGTAGGATCATGGCCCTGTGGGGGACCCACGCTGGAGCAGCCTGTGCCGGAAGGACTGCACCCCATGGAAAAGTGACCCATGCAAAAGTTACAGCAGTTAATGGAGAACGGTTGCCCATGGGTTGGACTCATGTTGGAGAAGTTCGTGGAGGACTGTCTCCCATGGGAGGGACCCCACGGTGGAGGGCAGAAAGACTCTTATCCCTGACCAGCAGCATCACAACCTGTGACAAACTGACTGTAACCCTCATTCCTTGTCTCCCTGTGCCGGTGAAGGGGAGGAGGTAGAGCTTGGGAAGGAGGGAGGGGTGGAAGGAAGGTTCTTTTAAGATTTACTTTACTTCTCATCTTGCTCTGACTTTGTTAGTAATAAATTCAGTTAATATCCTCATTTTGAGTCTGTTTTACCCATGTTTTATCTGGTGAGTGATCTCTCTCTTGGACCTTATCTCAACCCATGAACCCTATGTTACATTTTCTCTCCCCTGTCCAGTTGCAGAGGGGATTGAGAGAGCCACTTTGGTGGGTGCCTGGCGTCCAGCCTGGGTCAACCCACTGCACACACACAGATGCTTTCTCCCCATTTTTTAGGCCATCACCAAGGTGCAGATCACAGCTTACGAGGCCACAAAAGATATGCTATACTTTACCGGGAGTAATAATCCATTTCTTTCAAAGGTGGATTCCAAATAGTGAAGAGAAGTGAACGTATGGATTTTGACATCCTCTTTTCTAGAAGGTTACCTACTTGCAACCTCTTTTCCTTCCACCAATAGAATTTTACCCAAACTATACAAACCTCATATTTGGTCTAGTCCCAAAACAAGAAAGTGTTAGTCATTTCCACACCTGACAATTCGTTGGGATTCTGTATACATTTCTGAAGAGAGAAGGTCGTACTCTCCACTGTGGTTTGCTGATCTGTTCTTACTGCCTGGACATCAGATTTCTCTCTTTTGTTTTCTGCTGGACAGCAATCTTCTAGACTGCCTCTCTGATAACCATCAGCCACACTGACAAGTGAATCAACCTATGAAATGCAAATTATTACAACCATAAAGACAGAAATATTTTGGGAGAAGATTTTGGGTAATCACAATACTCACATGCTATCACAAAGGCTGACAACAATTCTGCACAATACCTAAGTGTACTTCTTAAATAAAAGAACCATTTTCAAGTCTGATACAGAGCTCAGTTCCTTACTTATCACTTTGATTCTCAAGCTCATCATTCCACAGACTGCCAGATCTGGGACTGCTAGGCTAGGAAATTATTACAAAGGTTTATGCCATTTCTGCTGCAGCAGAGATGTTATGTGTTGCAGAGCACTCACAGTGTCTGGAAATGAATGAGGCTGTTGTACACACAGACTCATGTGTGGTTATCTGTGTGTACAACAGCCTCATCCATTTCCAGACACTGTGAGTGCTCTGCAACATGAAGCATCCCCATCTCTTGCTCATACTACAAAGAAAGGCTGAAAAGCTCATGCTTAATTCATCACTCTCAAGAGATTACAATTTCCATTCAATAGCCGGTAAGTTTAGATCAGAACTTGGATTCAAAGTTATCTACTGTTAACGTCAATACCCAACTGTGAATCTATAAAAAAATATTTTAATACTTCTGTGAAGCATCTAAGTATGATCCCATTCTACAGACAAGTGAGCAGAGGTACAACGAAATTGGACTAAGCTAAGTAAATCAATCTAAATCTCCAATTCCCAAGTCCTAGTTCCTACATCCCAACAAATTTATCTCATATCCCATCCCCAAAATTAAGTTAATCCCCAATACTAATTTTCTCAGAGGATGGATGAACACCTACTTCCAATAGACTTTGCTAAATTCCTAGAGCTGGAATTTCTTGGAATAGTATGAATTGGTTTTTAAACTTAACTCAAAAATACCCTGAGAGAACTTTGTAGTCAAAAATTCAACTTGTGAGGATTGCTCAAATGATTTCTTTTAATAAGCAAAATCTGTTTTGTTCCAATTTAAATTTAAGAGCACAAATGGGATGAAAGTGAAATTATTCACATACTGCTTATGCATTAACAACCTATAGCTGTGTATTTATGTATTACTGACAGAATTTCAAATGTTTTTACCTTAAAACAGAATTTATTTAATAATACGATTAAACATAAAGAGGAAGACAACCAAATTTTCCAGGTTGCAGTGCTAAATTATCCTTTTTGTGGCAAATATAAAAGTAACACAGATTCACCAAAATGAAGTTAAAAATTATTCCATTGCTGCATAAGGAGCAGACCACATTCATGAATGTTCACATAAGCCCTTAGCACACCTGCAGAGCCCAAAACTGCATATGAAGCTAAAAAAGCAGAATATTATCTTTTAGCATTCTTATGAAGAATTAGGCATAGAGTTTCTAACCTGCTGAAGGTGAGACTTACCTTTTGCAAATGTGGCTCTGGTGTTAGTAACTCTATAGATGTATTCAAAGATCTACAACTGGGTTTTGAGCTAGATGCAGGCCTTGAAATGTCATCTGCGCTCCCACTTGTAATGTCCATTGTTACCTAAAATTGGGAAAAAATTCAAAAACAACCCTTCAAACTATCAGTTCCATAGTAAAGCAATACAAGTCTTGTACTATTTCAGATGTAGATCAAACAAGTTTCAAATCCTTTCTAGAAGTTCCATATTGAGAGGTCTTTCCAATTTAGATCAGCTTGCTACTCAATTATACATTTTTTAATATAGGTGCAAATATACATTTATATCATCAAGCCAACCAAAGTATTCAAATGTGCTTACTATCAAAGAAACTTCAAATGGTGTAAATCTTAAAAGTAATCTCACAGAGAAATTATCATGGTTCTTTTTTTTCTTTTTTTAAAAACCACTGGACTGGCTAAGTTAGCACAAACAAAAGAATTAGGGCATGTTAGAGACATCTAGAACAGAACTAAAGCAGCCAAAAGCTATTTATGTTAAACGGGGGAAGTTCCCAAGTCCAAATGATCACATTCCCCATCTGAGCTCAGTTTTGAGTTTAAACCACAGAAATGCATGTTTCTTTGCAAAAACTGTGTGAATTCCCAGGAACTAAACATCTTGAGTATGCGACATGCACTGGCAACTCTCTGAAGGCCCAAGTGAATACAGCTCTTTATTTCAGCACAAGAAACGGAGCAAACCGAGTCCTGTACACAGGTCTGTAACATGACAAGGTATAAAAAGCGGGCAGAGAAGAAAAAGAGTAGTTTGTATCCATTCACTTCACCTCGTGCATCCCGGGCTCATCCCCCGCAGAGGCCTCTTCACACCAATCACCACGTGCCTCCACGTCCGATGAAGCTGCAGCCCCTCTTCCCACCGCGGCCAGCCGGGAGCCCCCCTATTCCCACGAGGCCTCTGCCAGTAGCAGGGCCCACAACACCCGTGGATTTTTTGGGAGGGAAGGCGGGCGGGACAGAAGAGCCCCGTTCTCACCGCGGGAGGGCGGCAGGACCCGCGGAGCCGCCGCCGCCGTTGCCATGACGACCGTGCCCGCGGGGTCTCGCGATAGCGGCACGTGCGCACTGCCCGGGCGGTTCCGTGGATGGCGGCCGGGCTGCTCCCGCTGCTTCGCCGTCCTTCCCAGGCATGCAGGCATGACCGAGCTCTGCCGCAGGGAGCCCCGCTGGAGCTCTGCCCACTCCGCCCTGACAGAGAGAAGTGCTGCTTGAAGGGCCCCCCGCAGGGCTGTGCCGGGCCCGTTTGAGCTACAGAAAAGTTACTGTACTGACCCTTCTAAACAGTGTCTCTCTGCTGTGAATTATTATTGCTTCTTTTGCTAGTCTTGTTTGTCTAGGCTCCTGCATTAATTGTGTCAGGTTTATTTGTCAACAAGGATAGGTGAATCACTTTAAAATAAACGTTAAAATTATTACTGTGGTCACCATTTTTTACTTGAATATTCACCGTTAGTAAGGAATCTAAATAATAGGGGACTGTAATTGCCTTCCTAATCCCATCCTTTTTCATATCTTTTCTGCATTTAAACAAAATGAGAGGGTTAATTCACGTGTTCTGATTAACTTGCAAAATTACTGGCTCCTACAACTAACTTTGATACTCAGGTACGTCAAGGTGGGTTTTCATTGGCAGCAAAAATTTACAGGAAACAGTTTGAATAAGTGCATCTCATTCAAAGTAATAGAGTTTTCATTGATGCTTATAGTATGGCATTTTACTGTCACTTTTGCCAATAAGAGAGCACTTTGTTCCTCGTATTTAGTGTTATAACAATACAATGTGGTTTACAGTTAAGAACTGAAGACAAACACAAGAAATGCACTAGTGAACCCAGTGTGTTTTAGCCTCCTTCCTAAGCTCCAGGTATGTTAAAATTCTAACTTAAGTCTTGCAATTGCTAATGCAATACCACAGTGGTGTTAGGAACCTGTGGTGTTTTCCAGATGGTGCAGAGGATGATTTGAAGCAAAAAATAGAAGAATTAACATTTACATCTGCATTTAAGGTATTTAAGTATTCAAGGCCAGTAATGGCAATGAGAAAGCAGTAAAATGGACAATATCATTCAGAACTGGCTAAACTAAAATCTGGCTTTTGCTGTATTAGGAATTAAATTAGCTATGAATAATGAGGTATGGCAAGCAGCTCAGTATAACTGCCCCAATATTTATTTCTTTCTACAGTACAGTGTATATACTTAACAGCTAACAGAGTTTGACTTGCTATCAGCTTCCCTATTACAGACTGCCTAAAACCTCAGAAAAGTCCAAGAAAGGAGAACATCCAGCTCCAAATCTGGTAAAAAACAGACATAAAACTCCTTTGAAAGTGGTGCAGGAATAGGCTCCTTACTGCTGCTTGTCATATGGAATTAGTGAAGGTTTTCTATGAGGCTGTCACACCTGAGAGTGAGTAATAATGGTTTGGCAAGGATATCTCAAACTGCAGTTGAACTTACAATCTATGAGTGTTACATGTCCTAGTAGACTCAGAGAGGAAAAGAAGAGATTCACAGAGTGCATCTCAAATCCTCTAGATCAGGCTATAATAGTCTTCCTGTCCAATAAGACGACTGAACTTTGTAAACATCATTAAATATTACAGAATCTCAAATATTGTTATAGGTGGCAGGTGTACTTATATTGAAACTTGAACTAGAAGACCAGAACCAAAGATGTGATTTTTTTTGCCTTTCCAGGAACAGGTCAGTTTTATTCCAAGCTAAACTAGATACTTCTCTGCAGTATGATGATTAAAAAAAAAAAAGGTTTAGAATGGATTTCTCACAGAGAATAAACAACAGAACTTTCTCCTCACAGGGAAGAACAACAGAAACTGCAGAACTCTGCTATGTGCTTGCAGAGAGCCTTTCACAGACATAAGAATGCTTCTGCATGCCACTCTTATATTATCCCTGAAGAAACCATACAGAAAAATCAGCTTCTGTGTACCCTTCACCACCTTTGGTTAGTTTAGCAGACTTAAAACAGATGTGGAACAAAGACCATTTGGGGCTGGTTCCTGCTGTTCCTTCTGTGTCCTCCAGGGACACAGGGGAGGGGAGGAATCAACCTGCTCATGAGTGCAAGCATCTGCATCTGAGAGTTCTGCAGCTTTCCACAAGATGTGTCGTGTTTTGTTGTTTTTCTAAACTGTCCTTGAATTACAAATAATTCAAGATTGTAGTAACTAACCTTGTGGTCCCAGTTTGATAGTTAAAAACATCATTATGACTAGTTTAGAAATCCTGCTAATATCCCTGCTTTGCACAGAGAAAGTTGCTCCAACTAAAATAAGAAAGAGTCGTCTTTTGAAAAGGTAAGGAAGTTTTAAGTCTGAAGCCAGGACTTCGGCCATATCTTTTGGAGGGGGGAGGGTGAGTCCTTCAAGGCCAAAAAAATAAACCCATTGATTATGTCATACTGACATAATATACTGACTTCTATGTAGGTTAAAGCACATTTACACAGTAACTTATATAAAGTAAGATTAGAAGGCAAGGATTTTGCTTTTTTAATGTTTACATTCTTTATCAAATTATGCAGTGCAAGGTCAGGTGACATGAACAACAGGAACAACCTGAGTTCTGTGTGGCATGTAATCATGTCCAGAGTTAGTTACTGTCATAACAGCTTACAGGACAGATCCTGTTTAGCTGGAACCAGCTTCTAAGTCCCCATCAACTGATCTGGAAAAACATCCTGACTTTCCTCTTTGTTCTTCAACTTAGAGTCCACTGATGCAGTAATATTATCCCAGGAAATAGGGAGCAGAATAGAAGAAAACTCATTACAGAAATATAGCCATCCTTTTCTGGAAAACATTATCTATAGGTGTATTTTTAAAACCAGAACAACTGTGTTCATTAAATTATTGCAGTAACAATTAGATCTTTTCTACAGTAGAATACTTGTAGAGTTTCTAAAAGACTGCTTTTCTGTGGAAGTTCTTCTCATTGTGCAAAATAAATTGCTCTCAAGTATTCAACCAATGCAGCATTATTTAGTATTGAAGGACTGTGTTGGTTTTTTGTTGGGTTTGGGGTTTTTTATATTATTTTTACATGATGTTTGAGTTTTAACAGTATTTCTTGAGGATATCTCAGAATAGTAAATTGACATTGTCCCCATACTCTTTTCATCCTTTTTAAACAATTTTTTCTTTTGTTTAATATGTGCTCCATTTTCCTCCCCTAAGTGGTAGAATAATGAGTTTTAACTTTATTTTCTCCAGGTTTATTCTTGTGTAGTAAGATTTAGCCTTTAAATTTATTTGCACAGGCCAAAGTACACCAGGCTTTCTCTTCATACATTCCCACAGCTTTCCTTTGTATTTCACTTTTGTTCTTGTGAGACACTGGATATTAATTATATATTTAAATAACTTTTTATTGACGCTTAAAAAAATACATGCTGTGGTACTTTTCCACCTCTGCCATAGAAGGACCACTTTTCTCTGGAATCTTTCTTCTGTCTGATTTCAGGCAAGCTATATCTACTGTCTCATATCTGGGCCCCTTGAAGACTGCTCCTTACTCCCAAGCTGAGAAGCTCTTGAACTAGCAAGAAGTGAAGTGCACTGAAACCAAAGAGGAAATGGAGAAAAACTTATTTTACACATACACACTTTTCTTTAAATATATTTTTATTAAAACATTTGCTTTTAATGCCTTGTAGAAATCCACCACCTTGGAATCATCAGAAGCTGGTGACTTTCTTCAAATATGTCAAAGGAAGAAAAGGTACATCTCCAAATTCTGCTTCAGCAGAATTTTCTGTCACTTTTAAGATTACCTGGTTGGATTTAGTAAGTTACCGTGAACTTGTCAAGATTCTTCACCTTGTCCTGTTAAAAGTATGCTTTAAAGAAAACTACTTTCATAAACAGACAGTAACCACAGAAAACGGTTCAGCATGCAGCAAAGGGCTAAAGTACAGGAAAACCACAAGGAATAAACAGATGTTGTAAGACTATGCTTTTAAGAAACTACCCACAGAGACAACAGTGACTGCAGATGAAAGACTACTTGCAACTGAACAAGGATTAAAATGTCAGGGTTACAATACTTTTAGGTCACCTAACAGACAGATATAATTTCAAGTTCACATTCATTATAAACAAGACAATATGCCTGTGGTTATGCAGAGGGACAAGCTGCAGCACAATGCCTGAGTTCTCACAGAAAGGCTGGTGTGCTGATGGCATGACTGTGGCTCACTCAGGAATCAGGCACCAGATTTGAAAGTCTCATGTTCATACACTGGGTGGTCTACTCCATGAGATGAGTGGAGCAGGATGGTTGGTATCTGTACCTGTGAAGGTAGAAGAAAAACCTCTCTACCTCTGTCAGTTGTGAGAAACTGCATTAATAAACCTTTGCCTTTAGAGGTCTGTTACCAGCTTCTTCACTCACCAGTTAAGTTGTCACTGAGACACTCAGTGTCTATCTGTGTGAGTCTCTCTCTCTGTGAAACAGACTCAGAAACTAAGATTGTCACACTCAGAGAAAGGCTACTAGCATTTCAAACGCATTTCTTTCATTTGCTGGCTTTCCCATAAGAAAACAGCAGAGTGCATCAGCAGGTAAGTTTAAGGTTTGCGCCTTTGTTACTTACACAATGCATACATTAGACTGTTAGAACATTTGTATATGCCCTTTATTACAGGATCAAAGTGTTCTATTTATGCCCTTGGCACATACATACTTGTTTATTGGAGTCAGGATTTGTCCTGCATGATCTCCAATCCAGTTTTTATTTAAAACTACAAGAATATATCTGGGGTCTTTACAAAAAAGGTCTTTCTCAGGTTTCACACCCATGATGATTTGGGTATCCTTGGCTTTGTGGAAGTTTTATGCCTGAAAACAGTGGTTTAGGTTTGTAAAAACTTTAGATGTTTGGCAGATGCTTAGTAACTAATTTGTGCAAAAAAATCCAGTAAGCTTTAACACTGATTGAATAAATAGGCTTAACAGAAAACAAATGCACTTAATAGTCCATTTTACTTC